TGTTTCAAATGATTTTTCAAAGCTATCTATTTCTATTATGGTGTGTTAAATTTCATGCAGAGTTCCATGATCAATGCTAATTAATTATTAATTCTTCATCTTGAGAGTGTCAACAGGCTTTCCAGAGATGTTAAAAAGTAAATTATAGGTGTAGTTAACTTCCTTTTAACTGCTTGGTCCCCTAAGCCATGATTTCAAATAGGTGAGAACATGATATTAGCCCATTTTATTTCTGACACTGAAAGCTAGAACAAAAGAAAAACACAAGACAATGAACGCTGCTTTTTTAAAAAAATTAATAATATAGCATCTACACTTTCGATTAAAATTCTAAACACATTATTTTTAGTGAGGGTTTAAAACTTATACTGTGTAAATTATTCTTGCACATACTTGCTTTTATAAAAGATGCAACCATTTACATAAAACATTTTCCATGTTTACCATGTCTATATTTGTCTTATAACACTCGTATACACTTCAGAATTCCTCCAAAATAAGACATTTTCTCTGCAGTGGTGTCCCTCAGCATAATGCGTGCAGTTGGAAAGAGGAGGGACCTGGAGTTGGACTCTGCCCTCTGTCACTACTTGAGCAATCCTGGAAAAGTTGCTTGACCTCTCAGATCCTCAGATTCCATACTTGTAAAATTGACTCCTAGCGTTGTTTTGTTAGGATTAGATAAAAATGTATGTTAAACGTTTAGTACTTTAATACCTCACTAAAGGGTAGTTGGGAATATGTTTTAACTTGTATACTAGAGCCTTTTTATTTATGTGAGAACACAGACATGACTGTAAATCACTCTTAAAACTATCTCCTACTTAAACATCTTATACACTTTGTCTTTTAAGACACAGTTGCTTTGTCTATAAAATGGGATAGGGACTGCTGATGAATAGAATTTTATGAGACATAAGTGTATGCATTCTTTAATAATTTGATAATCTGACCACTGTATCCTCTAGCTTATTGGTCCCTTGTATCTTATAAAATTAAAACATTTCACCTAAAATAATAACCCCATATATATTAGGAATGTGGCAGTTTGTTACTCTGGGGCAGATTTTTAAAGCGCTCTATGTTAATGAATAATACAGAATATTTTTCTTCGATGGTTGAACACTTGCAAAAACAGCAGGGTTGTTTGTTTAGTATACCAATTTCTGGGCCCTGGCCCTAGAGATTTTGAAACTCACAGTATAATTCATTGTGATTCAGGTAAACGACTACAATTTATAATTGCTTTTAGTGGACTCATGTCTACTGGGGTGTGAAACTCTGTGTTTTTAACAAGTTCTCCAGTGATTCTGATGCAGCTGTCTAAGGACCATCCTCTGAGAAACAGGCCTTAGTGCAGGGGCCTCTACTGTGCAGTATGCACAACTTGGGTACCAGAAGAATACATTGGAACTTCTATATATATAGTTTTATCTAAAGTAAATTAGCCTCCACTCACATTTAGTATACTGGAGGCTTCATTAAGTCTGCATGTCTGATTGGCACATATCACAAAGAAGAGTGGAGTGGGAGTGTGCAGGCAGGGGAACTGCCTCTGGCACCCTCCTTCTTTGCTTCAAGCAAGCCATGATTTTTTGCGCTTGGTAAATGCTTATATAATCAAAAAACTATTTTTTTTTTCAAAATAGACAAATAGGTTAGAAAATTCTAAATTCCCTACAGGTGAAGATGAATAATTCAAGTACAAATGATCAATAGAAAATGGCAAAACTGATGCTCTTAGTATAAGGTCTTAGCCATAAAGTAATTAAAAGATAAGATCATCTAATCAGCTCTAACACAAAAATCTACTCCCCAAATTAGAGGAATCTTGAAGTAGAAATAAAATACCTATTGGAATTCTACCTCTGAGTGCTTTATTAGTTATGGGCATGCTCATCCTTCTAGCATCTCTTTCTTAGGGTTTGAGCTAGACTGTGTTCTGATCATCCAGTCACCTGGTGTTCATCCCCTTATGAAACATCCTGTTATTGTCTACCCAATAACTATTATCCCATTTTTCTTGCTAATATAACCCTAAAGTTATTTTTCTTCAGATACAGTGTAGTCCATCAAAGTGTCTTGATCTAGGGAATAGGCCTCATCTCAGCTCCATGGAATTAATCTGACTGTCTTAAAGCAAGCAGTCAGAGTCATTCTACTCCATTTAGCTAGTGATTGGTTTGGAGGAAGCATTTGTAATAGCATTCTATTGCTGCTGTAACAAGTTTATTATTTCACAGTTCTGTTGGTCATTAGTTTGGGTTGGCTCTCTTGGTTTATCAGCTTTGAGTTTCATATAGACAGAATCAAGGTGTCGGCTGGCTCTTATCAAGACGCTGTGGGAAGGATCTGTTTCCAAGTTTATTCAGGTTGTTGGCAGAATCCAGTTCTTTATGATTGCAGGACACCAAGGTCCCCATTTCCTTGCTGGCTATCAGCTGGGGGCTGGTCCTAGCTCATAGAAGCCTCTCTCTAGTCTTCGCATATGAGCTTCGCATAATTAGTCCATATGTGTGTTGAATCCTTCACACTTGGAATCTTTCTGACTCCTGCTTTATCTCTCTAGCTCCAGCCAGAGTAAATGTTCTGCTCTTAGGAAATCATGTGGTTGTACTATGCCCCTGGAACATTTAAGGTCTGCAGACTTAATTATATTTGCATATTCACAGGTTTCAAGGATTAGAGTGTGGGTATCTTTGGGGGCCCATTTTTCTGCCTATAATGGTATGCAATCCATGTGTGATCAAAGTAACAAGGGTGGGTGTCCATCAGGAGCTTCATTTCTTGGATGAAAAAATGGAGACTCTGCTGTTTTTTCCCAGCTAGAGATGCTATTGTGGGGATAAGATGTCTGGAGTGGCAACAGCCACTTCATAATCAGGAGACATCAAGAATGAGGATAGCCCTGGCCGGTTTGGCTCAGCGGTTAGAGCGTTGACCTGCGGTCCAGAGAGACCCGGGTTCGTTTCCGGCTCAGGGCACGTACCTTGGTTGCAGTTTGTCCCCGGCCCTGGTTGGGTTGTGTGGGTGATAGCCACTCAATGTGTCCCTTTCACGTCGATGTTTCTCTCTCTCTCTTCCTCTCTCTCCCTCACACTCTATCTGAACAAAAAATGGAAAAATGTCCTCAAGTGAAGATAAAAAAAAAAAAAAATTAAAAAATTAAAAAATAAATTAAAAAAAGAATGAGGATAAAAAGTTAAAATACCAAGGATGGTGGAGCAGGGGACTAGAAAGCACTAGGGTTCTTGATGTCATTTTTCAATAGCAGAATAGCAGAACCATGGCCAGTGATTACTGTTGCTTGATAGCTTGTCATTTGAGGGAAAATAGCTATTTATTTAAGCAATCAGACCAGTTTTCTGTCACTGGCAACTAAAAGCAATTCTAAATGATATGATGCTCCTAGCCTTAATTTCTGGATCTCTATCTACTTTGGGGCAGACCTCAACTTTTCCATGCTTTAAAATGTAGTGTTAGCTAATCTGATTAAACTCAATTATACTGTAATTCATAATAAATATCTTCAGTGGTGGTGCTAATCTTAGCTTCACCTTGAGACTGTGCTAAGGATTACAGAGTCCTGGAAGAGGGTCCAGGGATCAGTAAACTATAGCCCATGAGACAAATGGTGCTGGCATAAGCCAAGGGAGCTAAGAAAGCTCTTCACATTTTTAAAGGGTTATTTTAAAAAAGAAAACCAAAACAGAGTATGTGACCAGAGACCATATGTGGCCACAAAGCTGAAAATATTATCTGGTTCTTTGTAGAAAAATCTTGCCAACCCTGCACTAGTCACATAGGGCTTTACTAAGGAAAGTATCATTAGGTCAGCATATAATACCTTTCAAAAATTATTATAGATCATCATGTAAAGCTTTTGGCACAAGTGAAGTTAAATTCTATCTTCAAACTAAGTTTCTTTTCAGTTCAACATTTATTGAATTCCTAGTATTACAAGACTATGGAGGAAGCTGGAGTTATATAATGAATAAAACATGATCTTAATGTAATTGAAAATTGCTTCAGGGAGACATCTTCTTCGAGAGAAAAGAAAAAGGCCTGTATAAAAATGATTGCATGCAAAGTTTTACACATATCCACTTTTTTCTAAGAACACGGAGGCAAGGATAGGTAGCAGATTGTTGGAAACTGGGGCCTGTAACTCAAGAGCAGAATCCTAGTAAAAGAAATGAACAACTATTTAATTGCTACTTTATGTTACTTATCACTTCAATCCCCAAAGGTAAATGCTGTTGTGCAGTTTTTACTTCAGGTCATACTCTAATGCCCATATTATTTTCCCTAAACCAAACTGCCTCCTAAATGGAAGTCTGGACTGAAGAAAGGGAAGTCAGGCCTGAAAATAAAGATTAGGAAATGATTCACTAATCTCATTAAAACTCCAGGAGGGACACAGGGAAAGATTGCAGAATAAGAGAAAATGGTCAAACACAAAACCTGAAGCATCCACTGCATTTAATTGTGGAAAGAGGAAGGAAGCTGGTGAAAAACTCTGAAAATGAGTGATCAAAATGTGTAAAGAAAGCAGAGAGAGACGTTTCAAGGTGGCTAAGAATTTTATAAGTTTTAAAAGCTTCAGTACCCTCAAGTACCTTCAAGAAATGAACTAATTGAATTTGGTCAATAGGAGATAAGGGGATATTTTATATGGTTCAGTTTGGTAGTCACTAGCCACAGGCAGCTATTTGAAATTTTAAAAACTCTAACTTTAGTTCCTTAGCTGTACTAGCCATACTTGAAATGCTCAAAAGCCACATGTACCTATGGCTACCATATTGGACAATTGATAATACAAAACATTTCCATCATCACAGACAGTCCACCGTAACGGAGAAAGATTTACTGGTCAAAAACTCCTGGCAGAGGAAGACTTGATCCGGTTCTCTGGGAGGCGAGGGGCATTGTGGGAGCGCCCTTCGTGGCCCCACAGACTCATGGGAAATGTAGTGCAGCCTTCTCCAACATGGCTGCGCCCAGGTGATGGGGTGTGCGGGTACCCGCCGCAGCTTTCTGACGTAGGTTGGAGAGCCTAGCGAAGAAGGAAGCCCCGGGTGACGAGAACCCTGCCAGAGCCGAAGCGGAGGTTTGTGGTACTTCTTACTGGCGGGCATGATGATCGCAAATCGTCGCCTTGTCTTGTTTGCCTGTTCATGTCTATGTCGGCCTCACCAAGCTGAGCGGAGAACCTAGGGAGAGGAGCGATGTCCCTAGGGTTACTTTGGTGCGGTCCCTGGGCAGAGGGTTGTTCCTTGGGGTGGTCCGGTCAGTGTTCGAAGGGCGAGCGTTTGTGTTTGGTGCTATGCTCACGTGGTGTCTGTGTCAGTCTGTTTTCTTTGGGAAATGGCGGTTGCAGCCTGGGGAGTATTAGTTCGGCGCTTCTTGGTTTTCTGACCAGTGCGGATACAGTGAAGAAGAGGCATTGCTAGAGGTGTGGTAACTCACATAGCCGAAAGTTTCTGTGCCCTTATTTGAGTGACCTCAGAGACCCTCGGGCCAGTGTCATCAAGCCTTTGGTTTTGATTTCAGGTAACACATACCTACTGAGGGCGCCAGGCACTCAAGTCTCCACCCTCAAGTAGATGACAGCCTTTGGTGTGAGCGCAACACACCAACAGGTAATTATACCACAATGTAACAACTACGGAGATAGGGATGCACACACCAAGTTTACTGAAAACATTGAAGAAGGCCACCGAACTCAGAATTCTGAAGAAGTTTTAGAAGTCAGATGGCAGGGTTAGTAAGTTTAATAAGTTTAGGTTTACTCAATAAACGTTCACTAGATGCTAGATCATGTTCTAGGTGCTAAGTGCTACAAGGTAAGCAGTCCAGACAAAATTTCTATTTTCATAGAGCTTGCTTTGTAGTAAATTAGAGGAAGAAGATGGAGAATAAACAAATTAATGAAGGCATAAAAATATAATGTAGGTGTTCAAAGAATTAAAATGGGGTGATGTAAAAATGATGGGGTCAATTTTTCTAATTATTTCAAAATTTAAAAAAATTTAATAGGTAATGCAATTTGAATAGCTACTAAATTCAAAAGTTACAAAAGAGGAAAGCTCCCTTTCATTGTTATACCAGTCTACCCATTTCCCCTTCCTGGAGGCAACCCATATCACTAATTTCTTGTATGTTCTAGAGATTTATATGTATACCCTGTATATCTGTGCTGTACTTCATAATCAGGCCTCATTTGACAGGAATTTAAGTTCTTTCTAATCTTTGCTGTTAAGTGTAATTTATATATAAGCACAGAAATGTTTGTCTATAGTGCTTGGTTTATTATAGGCATTCTGTTTTTCAGGGTGGGTATGAACACACTGCTATTACCACAGAGGACAATATCCAATTAGATATATTGGGTTTAAACTTACTACCAGGAGTGATCTCTAAACTCTTGTTATGCTATAGAGAGTGTGCTTAGGCTGGGCGTGATTAGATTTGCCTTGCATGGTAATGACCTCCTGTAACATCCCATAATACTCCTCTAACATGGCAAGGACCATCCAAGCCTTTGTGCAATAGTAGAAATTCCTTGGCCAGGAAAGTAGCTTTTTTATAAAGGGAGCACCTCGAGACCTCAGCAACTGCTATCAGCCTGTTCCTTGTTGAGGTGACTCAGACTTGCTGGGCCAGTGCATAGCAAGTCACTGGAATGGGGAACAAATGAGCCTCCAGAGCTATCAGGACTTGTTTCTTCACATATAATAATGACATTGCATGACTGAGAGAAGGTGAAGGCAAAGGAATGATAGAAATGTGATTATGAGGTTCCATCTGCTGGTGGTGGACTCTTAATGTCAGACTTTAAAAAAGATATGTGCAACATCTTTCTCATTTCTTCCACTTTGTAGTTTTTGCTCATGTGACATACTAAGAAAAAAATTCGGTGTGCACTCATCCCTTGTTCTCTATTGCATACTGCAAAGATGCCATTCCAAAGATGATGACCTTGGAATAGAATAGCAATAAGATAGTTTCTTTGAAGGTTCTCACCTTTTCTTCTTAAACCATTCTGATCTGGTTCTTCTGGAAATTGACAGCGATTTAGTAATATATGTATTTAATCCCTTTAGCAAAGTTATGAGATAGTGTCAAATATTAACACAGCCAGACATTATGTAAAGCAGTGAAAACATTTTATTTAGTAACTATTGACAGAAAGAGCACAAATTCATTTTGATTTGTGCAGAATTGATTTGGGTGTTTTAAGGGAGAATGGGGAGGGGTAGAATGGGTTGCTCAGTAGAGTCAGAGAAGTGAAAATATGCAAAAGGTCTGTCAGTGCAAATGTAGCTAGGCCAGCTGTGTTTGCTACTGGCAATTATCAAAGTTTGAATTCGATTCTGCCACAGAGACTGGGAGACAGGTCCTATCCTTCCTGATGATTATATGTCAAAGGAATGGCTCTCAGAGACACTTCTGTGTTGCAAGAGATACATATTTACAATTATAAGCCCTTTTTAGTAAGTGCCCTAAGAAAGGGAGATCAGGGACCTCCTGACCGGATGTTGTTAGAATAAATGGTAAAATGTCCTGATAGCATTTTGAGTTTTCTCAGGCAGGCATTTTAATGAGTAGCTGGGGTCATCCTAGGGACATGGCTTTATGCTGCTGGAAACCACATTAGAGTTTGGTCAAATTTTTTAGTCCAGGGTTTGGATGGAGTTACGTGACAAGAATAGGCACTGTTATTTCTATTTTATGGGTGAATAAATGTTAGCACAAAAATAAATAATTAACTTACACAGGATCCGCTTAAGTAGTAGAGCTGAGATTTAAACCTAGAACCTGGACCCCTAAACACCGTTATACTGTGTTATAGCACTATAGGAGGCTTAGGGGAAACAAACAAAAAAAATACAGTTTAATCCCTGTTTTCAAACAGTTCATAGTCCAGTGGAAGGGGAGAAACATTAGAATAAATCATTATAATTAGTGCAATGTTAAAAATATCTATTTAGCCATCCCCTTCCTTTCTAATGATGACTCCTAAAACTTCCTAACCTCATTCTCTTTTCTGTTAACACTAACTAGCTTAAGAAATACTGTTGATGACTTCATATGTCCCTTTCATATTGTTTCCTGAACTTTGTGTTTATCATTTCCATGCTTTTCTTTGCCTTTTGGTATATATATTTCTAAACAATATATGCCTTACTTTTAGGTTTTGAATTTTATGTAAATGGAATCATACTGTATATTATTCTGTGAAATTTTTGTTTTTGTTCTTCTTTTTTTTTTTCCTAACGTTATGTTTGTGAAATTTTTGTGGCACATTTTACTTAGAACTTCTTAAGTAAAGGGATATATCCCCTATGGCAAGGTAGCTCACTTAATAGAGCTAGAGTTCTGGAACATTTTGTAGAACCTCAAGAGATGCTGTTAGATATTCTTGCTTCTTTGTTACCTTCTTAAGTATTTCTTTATTGTCCACATATCTGTTTGTTCTCACTTCTCTTGGTTTGTAAAAGGTCAAGTCAGCATTTAAAAAAATTGTTGCATAGAAATGTTTATAAACTATACAGTATATGAATAGCATCATTATGACTGTCCTTTTAGGACTCTTAAGGTAGTTATTTTGTACTTTTTTTTTTCAGTATTGCCATGGATAGCAACCATCAAAGTAATTGCAAACTCAATAAAACTGAGAAGAAGTTCTTAAGGAAACAGATTAAAGCCAGGCATACTTTGCTGAGACATGAAGGCATTGAAACAGTATCCTATGCCACTCAGGTGACCTAAAACTATTATTATCATTTGAATGTGAATGTATTGCCATGTTAATGTGTTAGAGTAACATTTGTTAGTAATTGCTCAGAGAAGGTGGCTGTTCTTGTTCAGTCATGTATTACATCTGTATTAAATATACATGTTAGGACCTGCTAACTTTGTATTTTTTGACATAGCCTTAGTGTAGTTTGAATTTTTCTTGATTGTGTTGGTTGAAGAAGAGAAAGTTGTGGGTATGTATTAACTGTACAACTGTTTACAGTTTGTAAAGCATTCTTATATTCATTATTATATTTAATTCCCTAAAAACTCTTATGAGAAAACTGTTTTGAGAGGTTGTGATATATTCACTGATATTAGGTGACTGAACCTAAAGCTAGATCTTTTGTAGTCTTCTTTCTTTTATTCCTAACCATCTGTATTGTAAACTATTTTCATTATAAAATAATTATAATTTCATTATAAAATTATAAAATAATTTTTATTTATTAGATTTTATTTACAAAGCCTTTTCATTATCTTATGGTAATAATTAAATTATATATATGTGTATATATATGTGTGTGTGTGTTTATATATGTATGTGTGTGACTCTTAGATTCTCCACTTATTTGACATGAACAGCATCCTTTGACCCCAGCTTTCATCATTTGTAAGGACATAGTATTGCATACTTTTTTTTATCCCATTGGATTGTTAGATTCTAAAGAGAACATGTATATGATAGTACTAATTAGTCATTAGAGTGCCATATGAATATATTGTATTCTTATGATATAGGATAAGAGTAGGAAGGAAGCTTAGCTATCATTTAGCCAAGGGTCAAAGACAAACAATTGAGAAGGTGAAGCTGGGATTCAAAGTTAGGTCTCTTGACTCTCAGACCAATACCTTTCCATTATATCATACGTATGCTATCTTCTGTGCTGCATCATAGTTTAGGAATGAGTACTCTTTCGAGGGAGAGTGAAATTTAGCAGGTAAAATGCCCTCATTTAGATTTTGTTACATATTAAAGACTTGGTAGAATTTAAGCCAAATATCTTTAAAAAGGTTGGGATAGATAGGTTAGGGTTAACATGCCTGCGTACACTTTCTGCCACGAGCCACTGAAGCTGTGCAGCATTTGGAAGATTATACTGACATACCTTATTCTCATTTCTTCCCAAGTGTAATTTGCTTTATTTTCCTTACATGGGTCATGAAGAGAAGTGGTAAAAGAAGAAATTGGCTCTGTTTCTTTGCTACCTGTGAAGCTGGTATTTTTTTTATTGGACCTGTCTTTTCTGTAGATTGCTAGAAGCTTTACTCTTACCTCTGTGGCTTCCAAAATGTCATGTTATTTAGGCTTGATATTTTTCTCCACAATATTTTTAAGAGAAAGGAATAAAATTATAGAAGGACCTCAAATTATATATTATCTGTCCAGGGGAGAACAAATGCTCTTATATATATAGGTGCCTTTGTGAAAATTTGTAGCCATTGTGAAATTTTTCTAGAGCAGTGATCCTCAACTTATCAGGACTGACAATAACTTAAAAAAAAGTTTCTGCTCTGACCAGTTTGGCTGAGCATTGAGAGCGTCAGCACTCAGACCGAAAGGTCATGGGTTCGATTCCCGGTTGGGGTACCTACCTGGGTTGCAGGTTCGATCCCTGGTCCTGGGGCCATGTGGGATGGGAGGCAACTTATCGATGTGTCTCTCACATCGATGTCTCTATCTCTCCTCCCCCCACTCCCCTTCCACTCTATCTAAAATTCAATGGAAAATATCCTCGGGTGAGGATTAACCAAAAAAAAAAACCTCTGAATTTTCTACTTCATATATTGGAAAAATTGCTTGGTTGAAAATTATAAAAAAACCAATTATTATATTTAATCATATTGTATAACTCACATATAATAGGGAATAAGTTCCTTCCTTCCACCCTCCACTGAACTTACTTTTTGTGGTTTGTCTTTAGAATTGCCTGCAAATCACTTAGACAGCATCTCTTGAGAATCACTAGTATTCTTCAAGTCACACCTCACCATCTTTCTCAGTTACTCAGTGGACCCTGTCCATTTATAAAACCTTAGCAGTTTCTTAGATTTGCAAATATGGAAATGTTTTTGTAACTATGGCTGCATATAACCAAATTATTTTGCTACTTTAATTTATAAACCTCACTGAATGAGGTCCAGGGTAAGCCATCTCAGGCTAAATTTTACACCATATTTTATAGTATTGTATTACTGTTTTTGTTTATTAGGTATATATGTATACTGCATATATAAAGTATTGGCTGTCACATGAAAGAACAGAGCTTTACTTTTCTTATTATTCAATTTTATAACAATTCTATTATATACTTTTAAAACAAGGTTTTAGATATTCTAATTTTGTATATGTGAAACTAGTACATTATGTTCTAATCTCCAGTTTAGTATAAATTAGGTACTGGCTAACTACTGTCCTTAGGTCAAATCTGGCTTGTGAGGTAAGAGTGAGTTTTACATTTTTAAATCTGCCACAAGACAAGGTGACAGACAGAGTCTTATATGACCCGTGGAGCCTAAAATATTTACTATTGACACTTTTCAGAAATTTGCCTAATATCTGGTATAAATGATGAAACTGATGAGAGTAGGTCATAAATGCTTTACTTTTGTTATGCTACAAAATTTTTAGGAGTAGTGAATCATAAATTAAAGATTTTAACACTATGTAGAATGTTTTTTCAAGTACCAAAACTAGAAGGGCACTAGGCTATAATTATCAGAATTCCTTGGATAAAATTTAGTGCAGGACTATAAATGACAGGAAGTAAGCATGAAACTAAAAAAAGGAAAAAAATATATTTACAAAATGAATGAATTACTCAGGCACAGAGGAAGATTTCCCCATTTTATATTCAACAGAATCTGTAATAGGTTTTTCTTTGAGCCACTACCTTTAGTTTTTAGTAAACACTATGTATTGGTGATACTAAAAGTGTGAATTTTGTAAACAGAAATAAGTTTGAAGTCCAGCTCCTCCCAATCACTATTTTAACCTGTATCACCCATTTTATAGAATTGTTGTGAAGATCATGTTAAGGAAGATTAAGTAGGTTAAAGCATATCACCAGTGTCGGGCAAAAAGCAAGTATCAGTAACTCCTTCTTCCTTCTTCCTCCTTCCTCTTTCTATTTCATTATGGTAAATTATATTTATGAACAATGAATGTTATCCTTTAATTTGTTTGTAGGTGATTAAGAAATGAATGTTTTACTGAAAAGACTATTTAAAAATCAATATTATTGCCCTGGCTGGTTTGGCTTAGCAGTTGGAGCATCGGCCCGTGGACCAATGAGTTGCGGGTTTGATTCTGATCAGGGGCACGTACCTCGGTTGTGGTTCGTTTCGGCCCTGGTTGCGGTCATGTGGGAGGCAACCAGTCGATGTGTCCCATTCACATCGATGTTTCTCTCTCTCTCTCTTCCTCTCCCTCTCTCTCCCTTCCACTCTATCTGAACAAAAATGGAAAAATGTCCTTGGATGAGGATAAAAAAAAAAAAAAATCAATGTTGTTTACAACATAGGAGTACTTTTTCATCCTCAAATATTTAGTAAATGGATTTAGATACTTTGTATGAAATTAAAAAACTAAATAACCACTATAAGGAAACTTTTTTCTTTTGTAATACCTTTGTAGAAATCTTATTTTAAAACAATCTTATTTTGTCTTATTTAAAAATATTCTTTAAAAATAAACAACTTGATAGCAGTTGTTCATGTTAACTTTCTTTTTTTAATTTCTTTTTTAAGGTCCTGGTTGTTGCCAATGGTGGTTTGGGTAATGGTATGAGTAGAAACCAACTGCTCCCGGTGTTAGAGAAACTTGGACAGGTGGATGCCCTCCTAATGCCACCTAATAAACCCTACTCATTTGTAACATACAAAACTATAGAAGACTCCAAGAAAGCCTATGCTACCCTCAATGGACAAAAAATAGTGGATGATTTAGGACAAAAGATCATTCTGTACTTGAATTTTGTGGAAAAAGGTATTATTATTCAGGTATCTTTTTAAAACTAGTTCTTGCTTTTGGTTGAGCTTATTTTTCATACCTAAGTGGGAATTTCAGTATGTATAGACAATCTGACTTGTTTATAGAGGGCATACTGTAGATATTATGAGAAACCTTATTTCTTTTTTTTTCTACTTTAAATAATTTTTTATTTTTCAATTGCAGTTGATGTATAATGTTATATCACTTTCAGGGGTATAACACAGTGATTAGACATTTATATAACTTATTAAGTGAATACCCCATATAAATCTAGTACCCGTCTGACATCGTACACAATTATTATAATATTATTGACTATATTCTTCATGCTGTACTTTACATCCCCATGACTATACTGTAACTACCAAGGTGTACTTCTTAATCCTTTCACCTTTTTTCACCCATCCCCCCACTCTCTCCCATCTGGCAACTGTCAAAATGTTCTCTGTATCTATGCATCTGTTTGCCATCTGTTTATTCATTTATTTGTTTTTTAGATTCCAGAGATAAGGGAAATCATCTGGCATTTGACTTTCTCTGACTTATTTCACTAGGCACAATACCCTCTAGGTCCATCCATGTTGTTGCAAATGGCAAGATTTCTTTTTAATGGCTGAGTCGTATTCTTTTGTGTATATGCATCGCTTCTTTCCATTCATCTATTAATGGATACTTACATTCCTTCCTTATCTGAGCTATTATAAATAATGCTGCAATGAGCATATGGATGTATATGTCTTTTTAATTTAGTGTTTTGTGTTTCTTCGGATAAATACCCAGAAGTGTGCTGGGTCCTTCTTTGTCTCTTGTTATAGCCTTTGTTTTAAAGTGTATTTTGTCTGGTATATATATTGCTATCCCAGCTTTTTTTTTTTTTTGCTTGCTTGTTTCCATTTTCATGAAATATCTTTTTCCATCCATTTACTTTCAGTTTGTATGTGTCTTTCAATCTGAACTGAGTCTCTTATAGATAGCATGTGTAAAGGTCTTGTTTTATTATTCATTCAGTCTCTATATGTCTTTTGATTGGAACATTTAATCCATTTGCATTTAATTGTTGATAGATATGTATTTACTGCCATTTGATTATTCATATTTTTTTAAATTTATTTATTTTTTATTAATTAATTGTTGTTACAGATGTTTCTCCTTCCGCCCCCCCCCCCCACTGATTCCCTCCTCCTCCTCCCTCCCTGCCCTTTCCCCAGTTTGTTGTCCATGTCCACTGTTCATGCATACATGCATACATGCATATAAATTCTGTGGTTTATCTCTTCCCCACCACCCCCCTATTTAGGGGATTGTCAGTCTGTATCCCACTTCCGCATCTCTGGGACTACCCCCTTCCTCAGACTGTTATGTTCATTATATTCCACAAATAAGTGAGATCATATGAAACTTGTCTTTCTCTGTTTGGCTTGTTTCACTTAGGATGATACTTTCCAGGTCCCTCCATGTAGTCTCAAAGGATAAGAGGTCTTTCTTTCTTACAGCTGCGTAGTACTCCATTGTGTATATGTACCACAGCTTTTTTATCCATTTGTCTACTGATGGACACTTGGGCTGTTTCCAGATCTTAGCTATTGTATATAGTGCTGCTACAAACATGGGGGTACGTGTATTCTTTCTGGTTGGTGTTTCAGGCTTCTTAGGATATATTCCTAGAAGTGGGATCACTGGGTCAAATGGCAGTTCAATTTTTAATTTTTTGAGGTAACACCATATTGTTTTCCATAGTGGCTTCACCAGTCTGCATTCCCACCAGCAGTGTACTAGCGTCCCCTTTTCTCCACACCCTCGCCAACACTTGTTGTTTGATGATTTTTTGATGGCGGCCATTCTGACAGGTGTGAGGTGATACCTCATTGTTGTTTTAATTTGCATCTCTCTGATGATTAGTGATGATGAGCATTTCTTCATATGTTTCTTAGCCATTTGTATATCCTGTTTAGAGAGGTGTCTATTCAGTTCCTCTGCCCATTTTTTAATTGGATTCTTTGTCTTCCTTTTGTGGAGTTGTATGAGCACTCTATATGTATTGGAAATTAACCCCTTGTCTGATATATCATTGGCAATTATGCTCTCCCATACAGTGGGTAGACTTTCTGTTTTGATGATTGTATCTTTCGCTGTGCAGAAGCTTTTGAGTTTGATGTAGTCCCACGTGTTTATTTTCTCCTTTGTTTCTATTGCCTTAGGTGATGTGTCAGTAAAAATTCTGCTGCGTATGATGTCTGAAATTTTGTTGCCCACAGTCTCCTCTAGGATTTTTATGGATTCATGAGTTACATTTAAGTCTTTTATCCATTTTGAGTTTATTCTCGTGTAGGGTGTAAGTTGATGGTCTAGTTTCATTTTTTTGCAAGTAGCTGTCCAATTTTCCCAGCACCATTTATTAAAGAGGCTGTCCTTACTCCACTGTATATTCATATTTTTAATAAATTTTTTTTCTTCTTAAAGAAGACTCTAACATTTCATGTGATACAGGTTTGGTGGTAATGAACTCCTTTAGTTTTTTTTCTTGTCTGGGAAGTTCTTTATTGTCCTTTGATTTTTAAATGATAGCTTTACTGGGTAAAATAATCTTGGTTGTAGGTCCTTGCTTTTCATCACTTTAAATATTTCTTGCCAATCTCTTCTGGCTTGCAATGTTTCTGTTGAGAAGTTAGCTGACAATCTACTGGGAGCTCTCTTATAGGTAACTAACTGCTTTTTCTCTTGCTGCATTTAGATTCTCTCTTTGTCTTTAACCTTTGGCATTTTAATTATGATGTGTCTTGATGTGGGCCTCTTTGGGTTCATTTTGTTTGGGATGCTCTGGATTTCCTGTACTTGTATGTCTATTTCCTTCACCAGGTTAGGGAAGTTTTCTGTCATTATTTTTTCACATAGGTTTTCAATTACTTGTTCTATCTGTTCTCCTTCTGGCATCCCCAAGATGCAAATGTTAATATACTTGAAGTTGTCCTAGAGACTCCTTTAACTACCCTCATTTTTTTGGATTCTGTTTTTCTTTTTGCTGTTCTGATTGGATGTTTTCTGCTTCCTTATCTTTCAAATCTCTGATTTGATCCTCTGTTTCAGTTATTCCACTGTTGATTCCCTGTAATGTATCCCTCATTTCAGTTAATGTATTTTTTATTTCTGCCTGGTTCTTATGTTTTCTTTCTTTTTTTAAATCCTCACCTGAGAATATTTTTCTATTTATCTTCAGATAGAGTGGGAGGGAGGGAGAGAGGGAGGAAAAGGGAGAAAGAGAGAGAGAGAGAAACATTTATGTAAAACGGGCACATTGAGTGGTTGCCTCTGGCACGACCCCAACCAGGGCTAGGGATGAACCACAACTGAGGTATGTGCCCTTGACTGGAACCGAACCTGTGACTTGGGCTGATGCTCCTCCACAGAGCCAAACTGGGTAGAGCCTTTGTTATGTTTTCTATCTACGTTTTTATGTTTGTAGCTCTTAGTTGAAGTTCTCACTAAGTTTATCTACTCTTCCCCTAAGTTCATTGAACATCCTTATAACTAGTGTTTTGAACTCTGCCTCTGGTAGATTGCTTGTCTCAGTTCTTTTTCTGGAGTTTTATTCTGTTGTTTCATTTGGGACATGTTTCTTTGTCTCCTCATTTAGGCAGCTTTGCTGTGTTTGTTTCTGTGTATTAGGTAGAGCTGCTACTTCTCCTGGGCTTGGCAGAGTGGTCTTATGTAGTAGGTGTCCTATAGGGTCCAGTGGCACAGCCTCCTACATCATCCAAGCTGGGCACTCCAGATGCACCCTCTGTGTGGGCCGTGTATACCCTTCTGTTGTAGTTGAGCCTTTATTGCTATTGACACATCAATGGGAGGTATTTAGCTTCAACCACCATGGAGGATCAGTTATGCAGGGGCCCACCTCAAAGAGTAGGACATACTTCAGCAGGGCTCTGGTGCGTGCTGAATCTGCATCTTGAGTGTGTTGCTCATCCAGGTGGTTGACTTCAATGTGGTCTGAAGGTGTCCACCGGGTGTTCTGGCTTTGGGGCCTTCTGGCATGAGCTATAGAGAGATCTGCAGATGGCTGCTACTTGTGCTGGTTTGGAGGTGCCCAGTAGAATGAAGCTGTTAACCAAGGCCAGCTGCCACTTTGTCATGCCTGGGGTCCCTTAGCAAGAGGTACTGGGTGCACCGAGGTCAAATGCTGCTTGTTTGAGAGATTTTAGGACAATCTGGAGCATGAGCCAAGACGGGCCATTTGTATGGAAAAAAACACTAGAAAGGGCTTGGATGGGCCAGCAAGTTGGTGGGGTGGGGTCTCAGAGAATCCTCAGGGTAGGGTGAACAATGTTTGCCAGGTTGATGGAGACTCAGGCCTGCTGACTCTGTGGGGCGAAGGCTCAGAAAAGGAACAGTAGCATCTGCCTGAGAGGAGGCTGCCCCTCCAGCTCTCTCCCTGTTGCCAGATAATTCAGTTCCTTCCCATATGGCTCTGGTGCCTTTTGTACTGCTGCCCCAGCACTGGAGCTCAGAGTAAGGGAGTCTGAGTAAGTCCATGAGTAGGCCCTATAAGAGGAACACCTGGGACTCTAGAAGCACTCTCTCTCACTCAGCCACAATCCCCACTGATTTTCACAGACAGAAGTTATGGGGCATTCTCTTCCTGGCACTGGAACCCTGGACTGGGGGCCTGGCATGGAGGTGGGATTCCTCACTCCTCAGAGGGGACCTCTATTCCTCCTGATTTTTATCCGCCACATGTGGATGTGGGACCAGCCCATTCCATGTCTCTGCCCCTCCTACCAGTGTCGATATGGCTTCTTCTTTATATCCTTAGTGGTAGGACTTCTGTTCAGCTAGATTCAGGCAGTTCTAATTGATGGTTGTTCTGTAGTTTAGTTGTAATTCTCATTTAGTTGTGTCAGAGTACCACATTTACATATGCTGCCATCTTGACCAAAACTGTAAAACTTTGTTTCTTAGTGAGATTTAAAAAATGACCCAAAATTGTGTTCAAACAGAATATTTAAGTTAATACTATTCTATTTGCTGTTGGTAATTATGATAAAATATATTGTAATTTTTTACTTGGTCTTTGTTTTGCCCTTTTAATATGGCATGCCTTTTGGCATTCTTATTTCATAAAATGAGGATTGGGAGTTTCATGAACTGGTAGATGGCTATTGGACAGTGTTATTTGTATATAGGAACTTGAAGTTTTGTATTATGACTATTTTAATTTGGTTTCCCACAGTACAGTGGAAAGAGTTGGGGCTTCAGGCCTTACCTCCAGGCCTCAAAGTGGTGGAAGAAATTATTTCTTCTGAGGAAGAGAAACTGCTTTTGGAAAGTGTTAACTGGACAGAAGATACAAACCAAGAAAATTGTAAGTAAAACCTTTAAAATTTTATTTTTAAAAGTGTCTGCAAAATGCTGTTACTGATTCTTCTTTTCTTCTCCCCCTTTGGTTTATTAAAACTCTGATATTTCCTCAAAATTACTTAAAGTAGCTTGGATCCAATGTTAGGCAAGTCATACCAACAAATTTTAGTAGCAGTAATAATAAAATTTATATAGCTATTAATTTAAAATTCTAAGCTTATTAATACTGGTTAGCCAACATTTGTAGACCTAACATTTATACGCCCTTTTACATATATTTTCTTATTTGATGTCTCCTCCGCAAAGCAGATTCCCTCTGCCATACCATCATCATGTAGTAAGAGCCTCCTGGAAATATTTTCAAATTGGTTTCTCTGACTCTTTCCATATCATTAGCAGTCTTGTGAGTGGCCAAACATGTACTGATTGGGTGAAATTCTTTAAGTGTTTGTTACAATTTTAGACTTAAAATAACAGCAGGTATGAGGTAGAATGGTTGATTTTATTAAAGACAATAATTTAGCAGTTAACAAAAGTTATCATTATTAAAGTAATCCTTACGCATAATGTTGACTTTGAAATACATGAAAGAATGAAATTCTTTTTTTACCCAAATAGTTTATTTTCTTCTATTCATACAGTTCAAAAATCTTTAAAACACAGAAGAGTAAAGCATTTTGGTTATGAATTCCATTATGAGAATAACAATGTAGATAAAGATAAGCCATTACCTGGGGGTAAGTAATAATAAATGCTACTTCAAAAGAAAAGATATTGGAAGTATATCATAGTTGAGGGTATTTCATTTGTCATTTTTAGGTAAACTTTCAAAACAGTTGATTAAACTTAAAACATTTAAATTAGCTAAATAGTACAATTTTGTGTTAAAAACCTTTAATCATACAGATAAAGCTAAAGTTTCTTTTGAACACTATTCGTACTTCCATACTTCTTCTTCGAAGTAGTATGTTGACAGTTTAGTATATATTATTCCAAACCTTTACAGAATGAGTTTACATCCAAATGTAAGAGGGTATAGTTGTTAATATGTAGTATTATATTGTATAAGTTATATATTCATATATTACATTTATTACTCCAACTTGTTCTTGTCCCTGTATATGTCTTGGAGACCTTATGTAGTGTTTCATTTTATTGAATAATAATAATAGGTTTTTTCAGTTAGTTCCCTTTTGATAGACATTTAAATTATTTCTAGTTTTTAACTTTTACAAGTAGTGCTTCAGTGAAAACCTTTGTACATGCCTCTTTATGCACCAAGCAAGAGTTTCTAAAGGGAGATTAGTAAATTGGAATTGTGTCATAATGTTAATAGGCTGACAGATTGTCCCCTAAAACAACTGTGCCATGTTCTTACCATGTGTGCATCCTTTCCCCTACCCTGACTGACATGTGATAATTGTAAAATTTTTAACTTCATGATTACCTGATTAGTATTGAGGTTGACCATTTGTATTTCTTTTCCTGTGAATTCTTTTTCATATCCCTTACCAGTTTTTTCTAATGATTGTCAAATTTGTTGAGTTTAATTTATCTGTATTTTTATGACTTTGGTCTTACTTAAGGGTTTCCTTCTCTCATGAAATAATACTTATGACTCCAGTGAAAATAAGTTAGTTCCACTTTGAAAAGTGTTGTTGTTGTTTTTTCTTTTTTTAAGAGAAGTCATTTAAGATAATTAGATTTAAAATAAATTAAATAGTTTAAAATTAAAAGAAAGTGATCAGTTTAATTCCCAGTATAGAATATAGTGAATGTTGTAATTTTATTGCTGTTTTATAAAATACCAAAGTTATAGTTAGCAAAATTGTTATTTTTGGATGTTCAATTTAGTAAAATCAATACAATAACTTTAAGAAATTCTTAGGAAGGTTTTCTTTATATTTTGCTTTGCTTGTGGGTTTATATTATATTTGGGTCTGATTACTAAATTAAAAGCTATATGATTTTTATCACAGGGACTATTTTTTATTCTTGGGTAAAATATGCAAAGTAAATACTGTGATATATTTCACTTTTATTTATTTAATTTATTTATTTTTGTTACAGATGTTTCTCCTTTTTCCCCCATTGACACCCTCCTCCTGTTCCCACCTCCCACCCTCAGCATTGTTGTCTATGTCCATTGGTTATGCTTATATGCATAAGTTCTTTGGTTTATCTCTTCCCTCCCCTCCATCCTCCTCTGAAGTTTATCAGTCTAAACCCTGCTTCTGTGTCTCTGGGTCAATTTTGTTCATAACCTTATTTTGTTAATTATATTCCACAAGTAAGTGAGATCATGTGATACTTGTCTTTCTCTGACTGGCTTATTACTTCAGGTCTTCCTGAGATTTGTGATAGCATTTTGGAGAAATGGCTGGAGAAAGGTTTCATTAGACATAAACCTGATCAGTTGACTGTGAACCAGTATGAACCTGGGCATGGTGAGTATTTCTTCTTTTAAAATTATCATCAAATTTCATAACTAAGTAGATTATGTAACTCTCTAAGATCAAAGATCATTTTTTAGCTCATACTCTTAGAGTAACTTGCTTATGTTTTGTTGTGTTGACTTTAACCCCTTGCAAAACTTTATCAATCTCTTGAGACACTTGCATCTCAAAGTGTAAACAAACTGACACAATTGCTATTTATGATGGTTTTTTACAATAGAAAAAAAATCAAAGTTTATTATTCATCATGCAGTAGAAAATCTTTAAAGAACTCAGACTATTACAACAGTGTGCCAGCAAATATTTATGACTTTTTTTGTTCCCCTCTCAGTATTTTATTTAGAGAGGGAGAAAACTGCTTTTAAAATATAGGAGACTTGTAAAATGGAAGAAACCAAATCATTTACAAATACAGGCATGCCTTGTTTTATTGCGATTCATTTTATTGCTCATTACAGATGTTGCACTTTTTACAAATTGAAGGCAAGACTCTCCACCTGCCAAAAGATTATGACCCACTTTAATATGATACTCACTTTATTGTGGTAGTCTGTAATTGAGTTATGCCTGTACAGAGAAGAAGGCTAATTGGTTGGATGATCTTGTTCCTTTTTCTCTGTTGAGAATGGAAGACAATTCTAGGATGACATATTAGTGAAAAATCTTTAGCTTATTGTTTTCTTTACACTTGTTAGCAGCATCTTCATCCAATAGTTGTAGTAATCAAATGTTCTTAAAAGTTTTATTAATGGCAAGAGTTATGGGTTGTTTTTTTTCTGCTTTTGTCACCAGGTATTATGATTGTTTATTTACCAATCAATCTTAACATTGGTCTGCAAGCTTCTTGATAACAGGGACTGTCTTATTTGCTTTATATATACTAAAGTTCCTTTCACTTAAGAGATGTTCAATTAACATAGATTGAAAGATTGGTGGAGGAAAGCATATCTTTTTTTTCTTTAGTTAATTTATTTTAAAAAATTTTATTTTTGTTAAAGATGTTTCTCCCTTTTTATCTTAATTTGTATGCTTAGCCTTCACACCTGGCTATTGCTTTTGTTCTTACGAATTTAGTGTTTAAGGGAAAAAAATGACTTTGTTACTTATTTTTCATGTCTTCCTCTTGGTCTGGGGTTGAGTAAGTGTCCTAGTAAAGCAGTGATTTTCAAGTATTAATTTTTAAAATCAAGTCTCAATGGCACTTTAACATGAAGTTGAGATATTTTTAGTGTAGATGTAGTTTACTTTTATTTAAAGTCACATTGACCCTGTTTCTTTTAAACTAAAATTATAATATTTTTCTGATTAGCAAACAGTGCTTTAACCATAATAGTCTGAGGCTATATTTAGAGTCATCTCGAATCTATTGAAAGGAAAAATGAAGTAACATGTTCTCCTATATTCCATCTCAGGAATTCCAGCTCATATTGACACACATTCTGCTTTTGAAGATGAGATCATTTCTCTCAGTTTGGGATCAGAGGTAATATTTAGACATTTTTATTCGCTATCAACAAATGTCTTACCTTATACAATGTCCTTTTTTAAGGATTTCCCTCGTTTCTTAATTCAAACGAATTAAGATTTTTAAAATGAAAAGTAAAGGCGCCATTAGCACTTTTATTTCTTACAGAATGTGAAATTATCAGCTTCTTTTAGGTGTTGAAAGTTTTATCTATGAACTCATCAGATGCCAGGAAAAGCCCTTTAATATTTTACACATTTTACTTTTATTTATTTTTTATATTAAGTTTTTAATTAAATTATTGGGGTGACACTGGTTCATAAAACTATAGAGGTTTCACATATCCAATAAAACATCATCTGCGTATTGCATGCGTGCTCATCGCCCAAAGGAAAGTCTCTTTCTGTTCCCATTTATCCCCGCTTTGCCCACTTCCACCTACTGCCACCCCTAACATTTTACTTTTAAAAGTTAAATAAAATCCAGACTTCCCTTTGTGCAATAATTTACTAAAGCAGCATTGTCATCTAGTGGCAAAATACAGTAGCTGCAGGCTGTAGAAAATGGAAACAATTAAAATGTCCATGCCTGGAATTTTGATATAGTTTTTCACACATATTACCTAATTTAACTTCAAAAACGTTGAGTAGTACAGGGAAATGTCTTTATTTTTACAGATGAAGAGCAAGAGATTCATTATTTATTCATTGACTTGTTTCTATAGCTGCACTTTACTTGAATTGTGGGGGAATAAATGGTGATGGAAGGAGACTTGCCTTGGGGTAGTGAACACACAATACAATATACATACATTGTATTATAGAATTCTACACCTGAAACCTATGTAACTATATTAGCCAGTGTCACCCCAATAAAACAAATAAACAACAAAAAAAGAAACTATCAAAAGCATGATTCAAAATGACCCATGTAACCTTGGTCACTGTAGCTCAGAGTTTAGAGCGTTGGCCTGTGCACTGAAGGGTCACAGGTTCAAGGTCACAGGTTCAATTCCTGGTCAAGGACAGGTAGCTGGGTTGAAGGTTGGATCCCAGGACTGGGGCACATGCAGGAGGCCACCAATTGATGCATCTCTTTCACATTGATCTCCCCACTGCCCCTCCACTGCTTCCCTTCTGCTCTCTCTAACTGGAAAAAATATCCTCCTATGAGATTTAGCCAAATATAAAATGATCTATGCAACCCTGGCCTGTGTGGTTCAGTTGGTTGGGCTTCATCCCATGCACTGAAAGGTTAGATTTCTGGTCAGGGCAAATGCCCGGGTTGCAGGCTCGATCACCAGTGAGGGATGTGCAGGAGGCAGCTAATTAATGTTTCCCTGTCACAGTGATGTTTTTTTCTCTCTCCTTCTCCCTTCTCTCTCTAAAAAAGCTTTAACAAAAGATCTATGCAAGCTGCAGATAGAGTTTTAGATAGAAATCAGATTTTTAAATCTAGAAGAATCCTTTAAATATGAGGTCATATAAGTTGCTTCAAAATCTGATTTTGTTCCTAGAGGTAAATACTATTTGCTAGTGTTTTTTGGTATTTGTGTAGTTCCCATCTCTAGGTCTTCAGTGCTTTGGTTTTTTAACTCTTGTTGAGCTCATGTAATCATGTTGATACTGTTACTAGAGAGTAGTGCTATTTGTTCAATAAGACAGAACTATCTTTTAACTACATGTATGGATTCTTCTTCAGTTCTTTGAAAAATAATGAGAATGGGAAGGAAAAAGAAAGAGCTCTTTTCTCTCTGGTTTATTTTCATTTTACCTCTTGTCTTGGCAAGTAGCCTTATGGGGGCCAGTAAAGAACATCTTTATCTTTTCCTCCCAACTGTGTAACCGATTGAGAAATGAGACAAAAGATAAAGGAATATCAGTGTCAGCTTAACTATTAAGAAACATGGAAGAACATGGCTTTAGATCTGTTGCCAAGTGGACTTGTTCATAGCTCATCCATGGCACACAGGCGATGGGAGAGCCAGAGGCTGCCCTATAACATGGGACATGAAGGAGCACATTTTAGCTTCTGCAAACCAGCTGGGTCTGAAAAAGAGAGAGAGGGGTTGGCCACGACAGCTAGACCTCAGGCTAACCATGAACAAAGGCATTGCCTTCTCTTCTGGGAGTTGGAAGTGAAGGAGTGGAGAATAGTGAGGTGTGTTCTTCCTATACTTTCATTCCTATGGAAATTCTCTCCCCTTCTAGGGAAACAGGAGGAATGGAAACTAGGGGTTCCTATGACACCTTACAAAGTCATTATGTAGTTTTTAATTAAAAGCTATAGCCCTGGCTGGTTAGGCTCAGCGGTTGGAGCATCAGCTCGTGGACCAGAGAGGCCCAGGTTTGGTTCCTGCTAAGGGCGCGTAACTCTGTTGCAGTTTGTCCCCTGCCCTGGTTGGAGTCGTGTGGGTGGCAACCACTTGATATGTCTCTCTCACACTGATGTTTCATTCTATCTCTTCCTCCCTCTCCCTCCCGCTCTATCTGAAGATAAATGTAAAAATGTCCTTGTGTGAGGATAAAAAATAATAATAAAAAATAAATAAATAAAAGCTGTAAAGAAGGGAAAACTTGCCCTTTAGTTGCACTGAAAATCTGCTGTAATAGTTATCTCCATTTGGTGTCACTACAGGCATATAATTTTTAGCTGCCAATTTGAGTGATGGAGTTTTTTGGTTAAAGCCATCATTGTAATAGCAGGAAAGTGTGCATATTGTAAGTTATGACAAGAACAGTAGATTTGCTTATAAAAGATAGCTTTTTGAGGGGAGTGAATCTTTTTCGATTTTGAAAAAAATAACCATTTAAATTTATTATAATATTTAAAACAGTCTGTTATATTTGGGGCCCTTTATTCCATCTGTAAAATGGCATTAATAATACCTCTTGCCTGACTGAAGGATTCTGATGGGAATAAAATGAGTTAGTGAATGTTAAAATGTTGTTCAAATTCAGAGCAATCCATACATGGAAAGGCTTATTAAGGTATGCTGCTTTTTGGTCTCCTTGCTTGAAAACTTCACTTCTGTAACAAAGGGAAGCTAGTGTTTTTATGGCCTTGAACTTGAATTTCAGGTAGTTACCAGAAAGATGGCTTTCATCTTTTCTTTCTGCATTTACCCACTGTTGCATCTTGTGCTCTTCTGTTTGTTCTTGATGCTGTGTAATTATTTTAATTCTCTCCTAGCTACTTTCCCAGACCTAGGATTTGGTCTCATAAATTTGTTTTTAAGTTTGTTTCTTTTTATTGTTACTCGGCACCTGAGGATATTTTTCCATTGATTTTTATAGAGAGAGTAGAAGGGAGGGAAGAAGGGAGGGAGAGAGACAGACAGAGACATCGATGTGAGAGAGATATATTGATTGGTTGCCTCCTGCACGTGCTCCTACTTGGGCCGGTGGATTGAATTGGCAACTCAGGTACGTACCCTTCACTGGGAATCGAACCGGTGACCTTTTGGTGCAGTGGACGATTCTCAACCAAGTGAGCCACACTTGTTAAGTGTATAGCTCACTGGTGAGAATAGAAGTACATGAACACATTGTTATCAATAAACATTCAGGGCATGAGTGTGCTTTCCAGAAGAATGAAGCATATTGATTGGTTAAATGGATGTTTGTTAAAAGAGCTTTTATTTGTGTAACCAGTATTGTCTCGGGCAATGTGGGAGATAAAAAATATTTTCAGTCTTGATTATTTTCCCCCTCAGATTTTGAATATGAATATCCAACTTTCTACAAGACATTTTCTCTCCTCTAAATCAAAATTCATTATCTTTTATTTTCAGCCATTTACCACCCACTGCTATTCGTCCATACAAAACAAAACAAACGTTTGTTCCTCATGGGTTTCTTGCTCTGGCTAATTGTCCACCAATTGGTTAATTTAGAACCTGCGAAATATTCTTGAAATGTATTTTGAAGATTATAAGTTTTTCTTTCAAGCACTGTTTTAACTATATCCCACAACACTTTCTTTTAAAAACAGCATTCTAGAGGTGTAATTATCATTAAACTGTACATATTTATATATACTCTCATGAAATCTTCACCACACTCAAGACAATGAATATATCCATCATCCCAGAGGTTTTCTCATCTTCCCCTGTTTGTCTACACCTTCAATTACTTAATATTTCCAGAATTTTTTAATACAGGAATCATACAATATGTACTCTTTGCTGTGTGGCTTCTTTCATTCAACAAAATTATTTGAGAATCATTCAAAGTCTAAACTTAATTGGTATCTTTACTTTCTTGATGAAAAATAAAAGAACTTTAGTATACTTTAACTCCATTACTCCCTTCCAATTTTGACCTACAATTATTGTGTATTTGAATTCTCTTAATTTTTAAAGATATTTCTTTGGTTTGTAAAGTCATTGTTCATTTATACCTATTTACCATTTTCTTTGCTCTTCTTTTTTGTATCTCTCCTTCCTTTTGGGATCATTTTTCTTTTGTATACTGTACATTTAAATTTCCTTTAGTCTAAGGTCTGCTGTTGGCTAACTCCATTTTATTTTTGGTTTGCAAATGTCTTTTTTTTTTTTAATCAATTTATTTTTGTTACAGATGTTTCTCCTTTTTCCCTCACTGATTTCCCCTTCCTCTCCCTCCCCGCCCTGTCCCTGGCTTTGCTGTCCATGTCCATTGTTCATTCATATATGCGTATAAGTTCTGTGGTTTATTTCCCCCCCCACCCCCTCTTCTAGGGATTGTCAGTCTGTACCCCACTTCCACATCTCTGGGACTACCCCATTCCTCAGACTGTTATGTTCATTATATTCCACAAATAAGTGAGATCATATGATACTTGTCTTTCTCTGTTTGGCTTGTTTCGCTTAGGATGACACTTTCCAGGTCCCTCCATGTCGTCTCAAAGGATAAGATACAATCATCAAAATGGAAAGGCTACCCACTGTATGGGAGAGCATAATTTCCAATGATATATCAGATAAGGGGTTAATTTCCAATATATATAGAGTGCTCATACAACTCCACAAAAGGAAG